AAGTTAAAAAACTGTTTCTAAGTAAAGTATACCTAGGCAAGGTAAATCCCAGAGATACCCAAGATACTTAAAGTTTCGTTTGTGAAGTGTCTTTTGCATTATTATGAACGACGGTTACATTTCTTAGAAAAAAATTTACTATATTAAGACGTAAAAATTCAACTGTATAAAATTAAGCAATCACAAGAAAGTTATTCTATAGGTTTATTCATGATCAATTTCCAATTAGGGGTCGTCTAAAGCCAATTACATATTGATCTACATATTGCATCAATTGTATTCTTGATATTTTTATAAACCACTACTTTTAAATGCATCAAAAAAGTAATCCCTAACCAGACACGGCTGATCATATGATCAAAATCGCGAAATTATGAACGTGTCAATAAACAATACATATTATAAATACTTCATTTTTATTGTTTTTTTACAACGTTTTTTGTTTTTAAACTGTTTTTATTTATTTTTTTTAGATAGGTTTTTCTTGGCCGTTGGTTCCTAGTGTTCTTGTATCTTTTTTTTTGTTTTTTGTTTAATTAAAATCATATATTTTTAATGCTTTTTTTTTTTTATTGTTACTTTTAGATTTTAGGTTGTTTTTTTTACCTGGTTCCTAGTATTTAGTATCTTTTTTTTTGGTTTTTTTATTTAAAGTTACTAGTTCTCAATCTTTTATAGTTTTTTAGACTTCGTTTTTTTTCGTCGTTGGTTCCGAGTATTCGTATCTTTATTTTTGATTTTTTTTTAATTTAAAAACTATTGTTTATTGGGGGGTTTTTTTTTTATTTTTAGGCGACCCAACCATGAGATACACCTCTACGCGGTGGTTGGGACAGTAGGAGAATTAGTCTCCGAAACTAAGTATCTTGATATATATTTATTTTTTTTATGTATATAATTTTGTAATTATTTTATTTATAAACAAATAAAAATTAATAATGTTATAAAAATAAATTATCATTGTATTTGAAATAAAAAGTTATAAATTTTTGTGTTTGAAAATAATTTATTTTACGAATGTGCATAATAAATATTGTTATTACTAATAAATTGAAAATTTTACGTTTTGAGTTAAAATATAATCAAATATTATGCTTTATTGAAAGTTAACCAGAATTGATTCTATATAATATCGAAATCGAAATAAAAAATCATGGCTTATAAATTCTGGAAAAAATTGACCGACCGAATATTCGGTCGGTCAATTTTTTCCAGATCTTCCAGAATTTATGATGTAAATCGTGATCTGATTAGCTAGATACAAAAATTATGGTTAATATTAGATGATCATTCAACAATTTAGCTATTACCCGAAATACCACCACCTAAAACTTCTGGCAAAAATTTGGAATCCGAAAGTACGTTACAGGTCGTCATTCTTGCTGATAGCTTTAATGAACGATTCCGTCCCATAATCCTTGATAGGCCACGAGTATGATTTTCTGTGTTTAGAGATTATTTCATACCCCACACGACTATAACGTCTTCAACCTTGTAGCGTCTTTTAGAACTTTTTGCAGTTGCTGGCGTGCAAGAGGCATATCTATTTTGTAGAGAACACTCTGAATAATAAAAGATTATATTAAGTAAGTTTTGCATTTTATATAATCTAAGCGATCGTATTCTTAGCATTATATAAATTAATGAATTAGATAATTTTTCAATCCAGAAAGTCAAAATGGAGTCGAACATATTCTCCAATAAAAACAATTACTATTGTAACACCTGAGTTACGTTCAGTTGGAGATGCACTGAGAGAATTAGATGCGAAACAGTTAATTAATTCCTCATATACGATGATGTTGTATCAAATATACATTTAAACAATGTACTGGATGCTCATAGGTAAATTTATACGGAACTAATGTTTGCATTTTATCCAACTTTAATGTTATAATTAATTTATATAAAGGGCTCGAAAATCTGTTGATAATAATGCAATAATGACAACGGTAAAAAAAAAAAAAAAAAGATAAATTTACATGCTATATATTTAGAACATTAAGAATATTTTATATTTTAATTATTTATATAGGTAGTTAAAGAAGCAAGTCCATTTCACAAGACAAGGTAATCTATGTTTCTTGATTAAATTCTGAATTGAAATGGCTCATTAAATTTGTAATCTCTTTTTTCAGATCTTTAGGTGAATCCCCAATTTTCGTACTAGATGAGAAAACTAATGAATGCGTTCATTGTGAACCGTGGAGCTCTATCCGCGTAAACGTCGCATGGTTATGGGTATGGAAGTATTCAAAAAGCATGCAGATGTTCAAATACGTAATGATATTATCGATTGTCAGATTGATATTTGTTCAGTAAAGGTAAATAAATTGGTAAATGAAAAATTTTACTGTCACAACGAATTGATTATCCTGAATTTATCTTAGGTGCCAGCTTTTATTCACCGAGAATTTTGATTATCAAGATATTCGAAAGGATTTTGTTTATGATTTTCAGACATCTGATTTATTGGGGAAACCCATTTATTGCCATCTTGTTACCCACTGCAATAGTGCGATTAGTGATTGAAACCATCCAGGAGAATGTCACTCGGGTCACACGGTGGTTGAACCATGGATCAACCGGTCATCATCTGGGTGCTCAACTGGCGGGTAATTAGGGATGGCAACAGTCGGTCATCTCGTGATCCAGTGATTACAAATTGGAAGGTTTTAATACCATCCGAATGGTACTAAAATAATCCAATTTAGAATACTGTATCGCGAGATACAGCCAACGGCTACAAAACGGCTAGCCGAAAATGACCGACCGTTGCCATCCCTATGGGTAACCACTAGTTACAAATGATAAAGCTACTGAATTGAAAGAAATACTAGTGAAGGTAATATTTATTTATTTTATTATTATATAAGCTATTTATACAGTGGACTTTGGATATAATGAATCTCTATGTACAAGCTCTGGATATAACTAACTCGGAATTTTAAATTTTCATAATAGTTCGATATGGAAGTGCCATGGGTCCTTAAGGAAACAATTGATATGACACACCCAATTTTTATAAGAAATTCGAAGAAAAAACTCTATAATTTTTATTTAAAAATAAAACAAAATTATAATCTACTTTATATTTTAGATAATTCTAAAATCTATTAACATGTATTCGGTAACACAACATGTATCGGTAATTTAATTTCATAGCTGTTAGATCATTTTGAATTTATTCTATCATACTATCATATGACTTAACGGTCCGCACGATTAATAGTAGCTCACCCACAAGATTTTTTCCGGTATGTGATTTTTAGCCAATTATATCGAAGGATCAGGTGTAACGTAAAATCAAAACAATCGAATTAAGCATCATCTTAAGGTTAGGATAAAGGATGAGAAAGAACACAGCTTATACTAAAATTTCACGAGGATTTTTTTTATTAGAACGCAGAAGGCAGTTTTATAGGTAAAATTTCGAGTTAATGAGCATGACTGAAGTTCTATGTTATTGGCTGCAGTTATGCAGTCCGCAGATCCTGATTCTTAGATCGTGATTGGTCAGTTAAAATTGTATAAATTCATAGAAATTGAATAAATTTCATTTGAAAGTTAAAAGATTGATACGTTAGAATTTTGGTGTAAAGTTATTGCAGTTAAGGCTGTTGGCTCAAAGTTTTTTTGTAATAAAGTTTCACCAAGCTTAAGATTTCGTTAGATCAAGTTTTTTCAGATCAAGTTTGTTAGTTAAATTTTTCCGGATCAACTTTAATGTGAATAAATCCTGTCATAACAAGTTTTGCCGTGAACAAATTCTGTTGCGACAAGTTTTGCTATGATCAACTGTGGTAAGTCTCTCTATCCTATTGATAATATTAGCAATAATAGAAATTCATAGACTATTTTATATATACAAAATCTGATTAGGAAGAAAAAAAAAATTGAAAAACTAAACCATATAAATGCCAACTAAAAATTTTAGTCTCTGCTTAATCATAAATTGTATGAATGTCAATGTTAAGTTTTGTACAATTACTGACTTGCGTACAATAAATGTCATACCAAAGGAACATTAGAAATGTATCCCTATCTTAAGGTTGGAGAACAACTGTCATTCATATTATTGTAAACTGGTAGAACCAAACAGAGATCATCAGGGGCATAAATCAAAAAAAATATATAATCAAACAAGACAAATATTGGAGTCAATAAAACCTTTACCAAATAATAATGTAGTAGGTATACCTTAATATTAATGTTAAGTTTTTTTTTATATAATTCTTATTTTTATAAATTTAAACATGTAGATTACATTCATTTCAGGCATCGAAATGCTAACCAAGCCATTGTACCATCATCAATGATAGAAATGTGCTAGTTTGGAACTAGAACTGACAAAATTTGAATAAATGATCGAAGCTATTAACTTTCAATTTAAGGGTTTTTTTAGCTATATGACAAACTCGATTATTTTGAATGAACGCTCAGCTTACAACATAAATAAGACAAAAAAATCGATAGTTGGATTATGTTATACAATCGCAGGTTTATGCAACAAATTTGTTAATCAGTATAAATTAGAAGTCAGGTTATATTTGATAACTTCAGGTGCAACGTGGGAGGCCGTTGACACAATGTTCAAACTTGGATACTTAGTTTGTGTTAATACAGTAGAAGCATTTAGAACAAAAGTCAAAAATGAACATTTAGCAAGAATTGTACAATATTTTTTAGAAAATGTAATGTAAATTTTTATATAATTTATATTAAATAAATTGATATAATTGCATAGTTATATAATATTTTCTTTCTTTTTTTTTTTTTTTTAGAGTGACTTTTTTCATGTTTACAACATTAATGATTATTATGTTATTCATAAAAACTATAGACCTGACACAGTCTCAACATCAACTGCTAATCATTTTGCTACTTGTATAGCAAAACCAGTTGTAGGATGCTCTTCTGTGCAGATCATATCTAATAATGTATTGGTTTATAATCTAGCGAATATAGAAGCATAGAGGATTTGTTGGTACTTAATTAACTGGTATACTGAAATATTTGATATATCATATTCGGATTACCAATTATGAAAAATTTTACAAAATCATTTAATAAATAATAATTTTGACCCAATCGAAATATTGACAGTACATAGTTATGCTAATAATATAAAGGAAAATAATGAAGCACAATCAACAAAAGCACTTTAACTTATAGGATTCAATGAACAATGTTTGCATTCCATATATGATTATATTAATGTATTAAATTTTATTTTATCAATAAATAACAAAACTCAATACTTTTTTTTTTTTTTTTTGTGTTAAAGGCTATACTTGTGACGATACTTTATTGACTTTATATTGGGTTAGCTATTACAACTATTTTTACAGAGATGAGAGTACAGCTAGTCACATGTACAACTTTTGGTTGCCTATTTAAGTAGTCCACCCTAAGGTTCTACACTAGGTGCTGTACCTATAACCTACTAGGAGATTATCTATTTGAATTCTCTGATCATCTGCCCTGTCATATTGGAATCCCCAACTAACTCCTTATATATACCTACCTGGTATACTGTCTGAGCAGTATGGTACCTACTCTTTTTGTACTGGTTCCCAGGCCATTACACATT